CTTGTACTCATATGTCCAAAAGGAAGCTCATTATCTTCAACATTTGTTCCCCAACAAACTGAGTATTATTTTAAAACATTTTCATATTTTCTACTCCTTTTGTCATAGGCCCCTGAGACCTCAGACTTGTCTAACTCCTCAGTAGGCCATCCTCTGCTTGTCTGCATGTCCTATTGATTCTGCTTTAGGGGTATCTCCTCCTTAGCTCTCTCTCCTCCATTTCCCTTGACACCGTACAATTTTTGTAAATACCATTTACTAATTAAACAAGGTGATGTGTTATTCAGATATAGCAAAGCTTTGAATATTACAGTTAGTCTCTTGATTTAAAAGAGTTCATAGCAGGAGAGAGACTATAAATATTTTGAATATGAACTGACTTGTAGTTAGAGATACTGAATTCTAGTCTACAATTTAAAAAATAGCTAATTTTTATTTCTCTTTGTAGAGGAATAATGTATGAAAGTGATGTAAATATGAATTAAGTTTGTATTAGAATCATGTAAATATAAATCATTTCAATACTTGACTCTAGCTCACTTTTGTTTTTATTCATATCTTTTGCTTTTGTACCTGATATTCCTTCTGCCAGGGATGATGTTCTCTCTCTAGTCTTTGCCATGGCTAAATCCTGCTTGTTTGTCAGATCATAATTCACCAGGAAATCTTTTATCTCCAGTACTTCATACGGATCCCTCCCATACCTATCACACTGTTCTGCTTCTTAAGATCAGAAAGCATGTCTTATTAATTCTTGGGGCCTGGGTATTTTTAGTGCCTAGTAGTATCCTGGCACATCGTAAGACCTCAGTAAACATATGGTGAATGAATATATTCTAAGTGCACTTTTAACATTTGGAATAACATCTCCATTATATGTCTTACCTTACACATTGGATTATTTAGAGACTATTTAAAGGGCTTACTTCTGACAGGTACTTCATCAGTTTCCCTTAGAAATGATGATAATCAAAGACATAATAAAATACACTATAGAAGTCATTTAATTTATATTGTATCTGAAACAATACTTGAAACATAATAATCAAATATTTCATAAACTGCCTGTAGTGTGCTATGGAGTTCATTTATGAATTTATTTCCCTACATTTTGATATCACAGCAATTTACCAAGTGCTCTCATTTGTATTTTCTCATTTGATCCTCTCATTAACCCTAAACAGGTATTTTTTCTATTACACTTGTCAGGAGTGATTTTGTAATGAGTCCGGTGTCACATAGGTTGTTAGTTGAGAGCTCAGACTAGAACGCGTGTCTTCTTACTTCCATAATATGTTCTTCCCATTATGCACGTGGGAATGAAGGCCAAGAAAAGCCATCAGCTCTGGGAGACAAGAGCGCAGAGGTTCCAGCTGGAGAGGGAAGGATGGAAGAGAAAAGACGTGTGAAGAAAGTTGCCTTTAGCTGAAGAACAGGTTTTGAAATTAAAAGAGATAAGATTGGAAACACAATTGGAATCAAGTGTCGGGGCAAGTGAGAGTTGGAACTTTATGTTACGGGAAGTGAGAGATAATGGAAATTTGTGACTGGGAGACTGAAGATCATGGCTCTGCTTTTGAGCAGACCAGTGCTGTATGGGATGAATTTGAATTTGGGATTAACTAGACGCAGTGTGACTCCTGGCAACTCATGCGATATTTCAGGTGAAAAGTAATTCAATTCTCGACAGTGAACTTCAGGTTCAATCAGAAAAGGAAACAATCGATCCATTCTTGAGATACTGGGGAGTGTGCATGAACAGGGTTTGGCAACCGAATGGTTGTGTGAGACAAGGGAAGAGAGAGAAACAGTGCTGCACTGTTTACGGTGGTGGTGGGAACACGCTCCCACCGCTTCCCTGACCCCTGCCCCGCCTGTGGCCTTCCTTCTCCTGCACGATTACTCCTTCCTATTGGCCATGTGAGTACCTCACTGGTTAGTCAACAGTTAATAATGAACACTTTCTGTGTGATACTGGCATTTTGCTAGGTATTAAGGATAAATGAAAGCCATGATCTCTGTCCTCAGTGAACTCAGTCTAGTGGCAGAAACTGTCAAGTAAATTATATTGTAAAAGATTTATTGCTGTGGCTACCCCATGCCATTAGGACACAGAGGGGTACCTGGTTCAGCTCACATAGTTCAGGGAAGGATTCTCCTTTCTGTCTTGGAGGAGGAGTTAGCTTGGCGAAGAAAAGGGAAGGATGTTCTGTGTAAAGAAAGCAGCATGTTCAAGGGCATGAAACGGAGAATATGAGATGGGGGCATAAGTTGTTTAGTGAGCCTAAGTGTGTCAGCATCTATCTCCTGACAACAATGGAATGAACCTACCAAATGATACCATAATTATCATCTTCAGGTAACTTAACAGTGGCAAAATATAATTATGTAATACCTAGTCCATTTTAAAATTTCCCCAATTATCCCAACAATAGCATTTATATGATACAGTCCAAGAGCTAATCAACGCTTGTGTTTTACAGTTGGTTGTCCTACCTCTTGAATCTCCCTAATCTTTTCTTTCTTCCCCTTCATTCCTCCCTCTCTCTCTTGTCTTTCATAATTGATGGTCTTTAAGAATGCAAGCCAGTCACTTTACAGGATGTTCCTCACTTTGGATTTCTATTATAGTTTCCTCACATTTAGATTCAGGATAAATATTTTTGTGCAAAGTACTGCACAGGTTGGGTCTGTCTCAGTGCACCCTTTCAGAAGGCGCTTGTCCGTTGTGTACCATTACTGTGACGTAGAATGTCAGATTGGATTCTTTAGGTAAGGTGACATCTGCCAGATTTCTCCAAATGCTGTCCCTGACAGCCTAATACCCAGTAGTTTCTGCACCCATTGATGATTCCTGCCTCAATCAATTCTTACTATGTGAATTGTAATATAGTAAATTGTGTATTTCCCCCATATCTTTGACACCTATTGGTTGGCATTCTTCTATAAAGAGCTTTCCCTTACCCCATATTTATTTTTAATTTTTTAGTATCAGTATGGATGCATAAGTGTTTTTTACCCCCAATGTGTAATAATCCATCCCTATTATTATTCATTTAGTGCTCAAGTCCCCCTAAATTTAGCCAAGACTGTCCTTCAATCTAGCTCCCCTCTGCCCTTTTGACACATCCCTGCCTTCTGTGAGTACTTTCTAATCTTCTGGTACATCAATACATTCCTGGCTTTTTTCACACTTTCTTGGTCTCAGCCCCATAATCAGATATTTCTCTAAGTATTCTAGTTCACATTAATAATGGTATTTAGAAACCAAGATCTGGAGACCGGCGTGCTCACTGCTGCCACAGTCATTACTTCTGGGTTATTTTGGAAAGCTAGGAAGTGTTTTGGTTTTTTTTTTTTTTTTTTTTTTAAACCCTTGTAAATGAAATCCAACACTTTATGGTTCTTTCTGTCCTCCTATTCCATATTTGTATTTCCTTTCCAATAGCGAGTTTACCCGTCTGCTCAACCTTATAATACACACATAATGGTTTCAGATTCACTATGTCAATACCACTATCAACAGTAAACTTAATAACGAAAGTCCAAATTTTCTTTGTAGTTCTTTGTTTTTGTTTTTATTCCCTTAAAGTGTATGCCATTAATCTCGTGCTTGCTTTTTTAAAGTTGTAGAATTTTAAAATGTTGCCTTTTACTAATGAAATATATCCTCAACCTTGAATATCTGGCATTACTCACAGTTTTTTTTTTTTTTAAAGTTAAGTTTGAGTGTAAATTTTCAAAGATATTTAGTTACTAATTAAGGGGTCTGAAATGTTTAGTGTATTTTAATTAAAATAGCCTTCAAGCCACTTTAGAATTAAATTTATCTGTAAGTTAACCTTCAGATACTCTACCTGTCACCCACCTTTTTTTTTTTAATTACACCTACAAAGTTTAGTACTTTTCTAAAAATATGAGATAGAACCAGATGGAAAGAGGCCGATACATATTTATATTTATATATCTGTTTATAAACTGTAAATGAGTTTGCTATCTGTACTTTACTGCATTCATTTGTCTTCTGTTCCCAATCAAGGGATTGCGTCTCAATAAAAAGAAATAAAAAATCCAGAGGAAGTAGTTTTCTATTACTTTAGATGTAACTATGACAGCCATACAATTTCATAGAGATTCCTACAAATAACCTCTTTCTGAGGGACAAAAAAGTGTATTTCCTTGAATTTGGGTTTGGGCCAGTAGTTTGAAGCTCCCCCCCCCCTTTGAATAATATTTAGCATTGACAACTATAAATAACTATGAATATTACAAGATAATCTGTTCTTTGGAGAAAGGATTGGCTCTATACCACAGCCTTCACTAAATATATACAGAATATCAATTTAAACTAATCATAATGGGATGAAAAATACTTCAGGTACTTGAGAGCCTCTTTTGGTTTATTTTTTCATTACAGAAGACAAACTTTTCATACATTCTATGAAAGTTTGTAGTGATTGTTCTGTGTCACCAAAATCAGGGGACGATTATCTTCTGATATGAAAGATCAGTTGTTGGGAGCATGTTCACAATAGTTAACCTGGAAATAAAATTTTGTGCAAAAGTTTAGGCAGCAGAGTCTCAGTAACAGCAACGAAAACATTCTCCCACACCTGGTCGATTTTAGAATAGAAGCTGATGCTTTGAAAATAACCCATTTCTACAAGGGAAATGTGATTTATGATAACCTGGGACACAGATATGACTAGAACCGCATTCTATTTAAAGTTATTGGGCCACCAGACTATAAAAGCAGTCCTGTGAAGTGAATCAATGGAAGCTGGTCCTCTTCAGTGGACAGTAACACAGGCACTAATGAGCCCGATTTCATTAGAAGATATTTGATTTATAAAGTCCTATCTTATTTTGAAATTGCTGGCTTAGTCCTGGCATCTGATCTTTCTTCCCCCTACCATCACCATCACCAGTTTCTGTGTATGCTTTGACATTGCTATGGTAACCCTGAGGGCTGATGGAATTCCCTGCATCTCTCTTCACAGAGGGTGATGAGACAGGAGTGATGGATAGTCTGCTGGAGGCTTTGCAGTCGGGGGCTGCCTTCCGCGACAGAAGAAAAAGGACACCAAAACCAAAAGGTGAACATTATAGTTCTTTCATGTTACTTTCTAGGGAACTATCACAAAGAACAACCGTTTTCTTTTTTCCTTTTAATTCTTTTCAAGTCATGTGTCAAGAATGTAGTGCTCTGGGCAACACCTCTTCAGAAGTTTCCTGAGTTTGCTTAATCCTTCCCTTGCCATGACAGATGTCAGAGAGAGAAGCATTCCAGCTGACCGATGTCAGCACATTAACAGACCAAAGCACTGAACCTAGAAAATCCTGATTACTGTGACAAGTCTCATCTAAAGAACCATATGCACCTTATCCCAGTGGAGTTTACAATAGCATAACTAAATGGGAAGTAAAAGTCATAGCATCATTGCTTCAAGTATTTCAGGGTATTGAAGCATTGCTTGGGTCGAGACATATTTAACCTTTGAAAACAGTCTAACAGTTAACACTTTTTTAAGATTTTATTTATTTATTTGTCAGAGAGAGAGAGACAGAACACAAGCAGGGGGAGAGGCAGGCAGAGGGAGAAGCAGGCTCCCAAGGAGCAGGGAGCCCGATGTGGGACTCGATCCCAGGACGCTGGGATCATGACCTGAGCCGAAGGCAGCCGCTTAACTGACTGAGCCACCCAGGCATCCCACTGTTAACACTTGTTGAGGTGAACAGACCTCTGTATTAATTTTGTCTCTCTCTCTTTTTTTAACAGATATTCGGCAAAGTCTCAGTCCCATGTCTCAGAGGCCTGTTCTGAAAGTTTGTAACCATGGTAATAAACCGTATTCATAAATTGCACATTCTTCTTATCTACTTTTATCCTGTTGATCTATTATTTTAATAGGCTGCTGTGAGGGTTCTCAAGTTTAGTTATAACTATAGGAGTAGAAATGTGTGGATGTACCTATTGCCCTGAGCTTGTATATTCATAATATTCCATGCTTATACTATTGCCTTGAGGTAGTATCTAAGGTTCTTCTTTCAGGTCTCAGATGAATTTTTAAAATTATTATTTTTTGAAATTATCTCAGACATTTTTGATCAGTGTTGCCCAATGTATCCTTTCAAAAACAGTTTGCTCTCAAAGTAATGTTTCACATAGTGGATTTGCTTTACATCAAGATACGACTTGAAATAGTGAATCTGTTAAACTATTTTACTCTACCATATTTGCCAGTGCCGTTTGTAATACTGTGACCAGCATTTTGGCAAAATCATTATAACACAGATGAGTTTCATGTGCCCTTATCGTGGAAGGATATACTAGGATCACTAAAAAGGTGAGTTAACTGAGTTTCTGATGTTGATCTGAGAGTGACTGCTTCCAGAAATCTCACCAGCGCCCGCACGGCACCCTCCTCTCTTCATTGTGCCAATTCATGCTGACCAAGTTCTATTTACGTTGGCTCCCTTTCTCTCACTGTTATCAATTATGGGGTTCTGCTTACCTTACATAGTCATAAGTAAATTTATCAGTTGTCATTGTCATTTATTCAGGATGAGATTGTCATCAAAGTTTGCGAGATTTATAAATGGAAAAATACTTGACAGATTTTCATTCAAGGATAGTTTTGGATATGGAGGAGTTAAGTTCTGGAAGTGTTAATGTGTGGCTAACTACAGACATTTGTGTCAAATTTCTAGGGTAGCCAAAAAAAAAAAAAACACTATGAAGTGAATAAGAAAAAGAAGTGAATGTGGGTAATTAATCTTCATAGATGGGTAGATGTTTATTGCTCAAGGTAAAATATTTAAATAGATCTTTCTAGTCTTTTCAACAGTATGTTTTTGTTATTGTTTAGCCTTTCCCTACTTTAACAGCAGAAAAGAGGAATGGTAGTATGTCACAGATACTCATTGTGGATAATTAAGTACTTCCTAACTTTGGGTTTATGATTTGGAGTCATTGTGACATAGTAAATAATGGCAAAAGGTTAGAGAATGGAGCTATCCTGGACCTAGAGATTATTTTGTTTTGTAGATGAATAAATGGAAATTCAGAGAAGCTGCAAACCCTCCCAAGAGTACAGAGCTAGTTAGTGACACAAATATAACCATAATGCAGTTCTGATTCCCATCACATTTCTTTTTTTGATTACACATGGGTATTTTGAATTATTTTTTATCAGTAACAAAATATATAAAATAATGCAGCCCCCATTGTGTATCATTTAAGACCCACAGCCAACACAGTGATCATGAAATGATTATAATGGCATACATATGTCCATGCTATGCTTAATTTAGGTATTATGTAGAGGAAGATTATTTAAGATAATTTTGTTCACTGGCCTTGGGGAACCCAGTTCTTTTCTGACTGTAATGTCAGTAAAGTGTCCAGTCTACAAAAGCTCATCTATGATTACTTACAAATTATGGTATTTTGGTCCGCTGCATAAAAGCAGATGAACCTTGCATTTCTGTCTTTACTCAGGTTGACATGTACTATCTGAAGTTATAAGGCTATTGTGATAATTAAACTAATAGGTTATACAGCAAGCCAAAAGAGATATGAAGGTCAAATTCTTTTCTAATATAAATGTAGTGGATTACAGTGTTTTTGACACTTATTTTCTATCAATATTTCTGTTGTGTTTTCCTTTTGTATTTCTAACCAAGTGGGGAAAAATTCAAATGACCAGTTAATCTTGAAGAACTCTGTATATAAAGATAGATTTATTAGATTAGATGTTCAAAAGTACACAGTTTGTTTAAGGAAAATATTATTGAAACAAGGATCATGATTATTATTAGGAAAAGATGATATTTCAGAGTATTTTATAATCTTGCTATTTCTAAAAATTGCCTTTTGTTTTGAAAATGCTAACCCTACAACTCAACTGAACTATGTGAAGTGTAACTTGAACCTATTTTACTTTTTAAGCTGCTTTGATGTACTTAAACTAATGTCTGACATTTTCTATATGCTTATAGTGGTTCATATTATCTCCTAACCTTTTTTTTTTTGAAGACTTACAAGATTTTCTACAATTATTTTAAACTTATATTCTAAGTAAAATAATAATTTTAAGTATTAATAATAATCTAATGTCTACTGAGTTATTTGGCTTACTAAATACCAAGCACCATGCAGAATTTTTATACATATCATCCTATTTCATCTTCACAATAATCCTGTCAGATAGTCAATATTTTTATCTCCATTTCGTTGTTGAAAATAACTAAAGATTAAACAGGTCTGGTAGTTTGCTTATGGTCCTGTGCCAAGTTTTGAACTTGAGCTGACTTCTGATTCCAAGTTCTTAATCTCTCCGCCATGTTGTACTCTGAATACACAGCTTGAATCAGCATCTATTCCTTTTCACATCCTTGTGCTATGAGCAATCTATGTATCTTTTTTTTTCCTCTTCTTGACATAAGGGTGACCTACTGAGATACATCCTTTCAGAGGTTTTCTAGCCTGTGGTGTATCTTATCTCTTGTTCCCAGATTTAACCACTAGATAGCACTCTTTTCCAAGAATATGTCATCTTCTGGAATTATGACCACTTTTTATTTTTTTTAATATACTCTGTATTAGGGACGCCTGGGTGGCTCGGTCAGTTAAGTATCTGCCTTCTGCTCAGGTCATGATCCCAGGGTCCTGGGATGAGTCCCGTGTCGGGCTCTTTCCTCAGCGGGGAGCCTGCTTCTCCCTCAGCCTGCCTCTCCCCCTCCTTGGGCTCACTCGCTCACTCGCTCTGACAAATAAATAAAATCTTTAAAAAAAAATAAAAATAGGGCGCCTGGGTGGCTCAGTTGGTTAAGCGACTGCCTTCGGCTCAGGTCATGATCCTGGAGTCCCAGGATCGAGTCCCGCATCGGGCTCCCTGCTCGGCAGGGAGTCTGCTTCTCCCTCTGACCCATTCCCCTCTCATGCTCTCTCTATCTCATTCTCTCTCTCTCAAATAAATAAAATCTTAAAAAATAAAATAAAATAAAAATTTAAAAAAAAATAAAAATAAAAAACTCTGTATTAAAACATCTATATTAATTTTAGCCAACCATGGAACATATAGATTGTATAGATTATAAGTGCAGATTTAGATTATACCTGTAGATACAAATGTAGTTGCAAACATAGATCATCTTTTATTTCAGAATTAGAAGATCCTGGTAGAGTATCCTCAGACCTTGGAGCTAAAATGTCCGAGAATATATTTTGGCAGAAGATGACCTCAAGCGCTCTAACTGCTATGGGCTTCAGAAGCACAGAAATTATGCATGTTCCGTAATCCAGCCCTTATGCTGTGCTCCAAACCTCTGCCAAAAATACTTTGGTTAAAACTATTGGTTGTTTTGGGGGTGCCTGGGTGGCTCAGTCATTAAGCGACTGCCTTCGGCTCAGGTCATGATCCTGGAGTCCCGGGATCGAGTCCCGCATCGGGCTCCCTGCTCGGCAGGGAGTCTGCTTCTCCCTCTGACCCTCCCCCTTCTCATGCTCTCTCTCTCTGTCTCATTCTCTCTCAAAAATAAATAAATAAAACCTTTAAAAAAAAAAAAAAAACTATTGGTTGTTTTATCTTTTGCTTTGCCTTTTACAGCCTCAGCAGAAATTAAATGCCCAGTATTTTTCCTCCCTAAACCTTTATTCCTTCATTAATTTAGCAAAATTTATGAAGCACTTGCTAGGCGCTTAAAATATAGAGATACTCCCTAAGTGTTCATCATCTAGTTGGGACAGATGAGTAGCAATTCCCATGCATTTGGTTAATGCCAGGATAGAGGCAACACACAAAGTTTTGGGAACACCTGCAGGTGTGGAAGACGAATCCAGACCTTATGAGGACAATCCAGACTTGACTTCTAGAAGGACCCTGAAATCCAGGCTGGGTTTTGAGGAGTGAGTAGAAGTGAGGTCAAAAGGCCACGGGCAAGGGTAAGCCAAGGAAGAGCAACAGCATGTGTACACTTTCTCAGAGCATCTCCAGTGGACCCCGGTCTGTAAAACTGTATGTCCTAATAAGCCCAGTGGCTTTCCCACTTTGCAGTAGTCATTTCCTATAAAATATTCAGTGTCTGCCCCCTAGTCATGGGTCCCCTCGAGGTGGGGACAAAGGGACCAAAGATACCTGATTCATATACTGCTGTAACCTCAGCACTTAGCTGCGCTGGTGCCCGGCACATGGGTGTTTAGTAAGAACGTGTTGAATGAACAGACATGGTTATGTTTAGGTTGGAATGGAACAAGTAATGTACGATACCGAGCAAAATCAGGTCGCTGGATGTCACCCAAATGAGTGGGCTTTAATATGCTAATTGCTAAAGCTCCAGCTGTGAACACTGTTAACCCCCTCTCATCTCCTCCCTAAAATGTTATCTGTCATCGGAAGGAGCTATTTGATCATCAGTGGTCTATGCTTCAAAAGGTGTTATATCAAACAGGGAGGATGCGGTTCAGTCTTGATTGGATTATTCACTCTTTAGAAGCGGCAGGTTGCTTATTAATTAGATTTCTTTCCCTTGCTTAATCAAGCAGAGTTTAACAACAGTAAATAAAACAAAGGGAAACTTCTGCTAATGAGTACAGGGCATTATCTTGTGTCTTTACTCAACACAGTGCATTCCAAATCTGAAGATTTTCTATAGTCTGTGGAAAACAGTAAGATTTCCTTTTAAGTCAAGATAATCAAAGTATTTATTAATGTGTTTTTATAAAGATTGTACCATACTTAGGTGTTAGTGAATCAAATGGTCTGGTTAAAAATAAAGGACCACATAGGAAAGAAACATATGGAGAGTCTGATGCCAGACCAAGAAATTGGTCTGTTGAGGTTTTTAAGCAAGAAAATGACAGGTCTGAGCAGATTTTCTGGAACTGAAGTGACAAAGTAGGAAAGTGGAAAGAATCAAAAGGACTTCATAGCCACCCTAGATGTCGACATGGATTGGCCGCAAGGGATGGGGAGTGAATAAAAGAGCTTTTTAAAGTTTGAGGGAAGAAGCCAGGTCTAGAGCTGTGGGTTAAGAGACCCCCACAGAGAATTGCTAATGCTACTTAAGCTAATGAGTTCTCTAAAGGAAAATCTTTAAATCTAGAGGATAGCAAATCAAGGGCTACACCTCAGGAATGGACACAGGTGGGTAACGAAGTGAATGAACAAGAGGCAGAAGAAAGATGAAGAAATCAGGGAGAATGCAAGATAGTCGAGCCAACATTAAGAAGGTGGAAAGGAGACTTTCAAGGACTTGGTTTCCTCATTTTCTCTCTTTTGTTTGTTTCTTTGTTTCTACAACTCGGTGGTATACCACTGAGTGACTAGTGCTTTTTAGGATGGATACCTTACTTCCTACGCTCTTCCAGGACATCTCTTCCTCTGCACACTATGTAGACGCTTATGTGTTCCCAACAAAGGTTTCGCAAATATGAACGGTGTAGCCACACCTTGTGGTACATCTGCCTGCAATTTGATTGCATCTTCATTAGAAGGTTCTCTTTTCATTAAATACTACAGTGGGTTTTTTTTTCTCAGTTAAATGGATATAGAGTAATCAGAAAGAATTCTATAAACTATACGCAATTAAAACCCCTAATGATAAAACTATTTAACTGTGACAAAATAAGATAAAACATAATCAAAATTTTAGGCAAACAAGTATTACACATTTTTAGTGAACATCCATAACCTAAACAAAATCTCGCTATATTATCTTTACACTAAATCAATTCTTAATAGCCTTAATTTGGATTTGATTATCTATTTTTACTCTTCCACTTATATATGGAGCTTTGAGAGATTTTTATAGAAATAAGATTGTATTGCCGCCAGGCACAGCTGCTCTGCTACTCTAAGATTTGAAGTCAGAATTAAATGTGAAGCTAGTTAGATATCTTTGAATTAGCATATTTCTCACAAAATAAGGGAGGCAACACAAGACAGGCTTCCGTTGTTGATCTATCAAAACTTCACACATAACCACCCCGCTCTCCCTAATCCACTCGGTCTTGGGTCCTCTTTATTTCTTGACCTACCTTCCCCCAAACAACAAGAATTTGTCTTGAGGCAGAATTATGAAATTAGTAAGGTTTTCAATAGTGTCTACTGAACACTAGCTGCCTTAAGGCTTGTTTGAAAACAGTGAGGACGACACCAAACCACTCCTTGCCTAGAAAACCTTATCTATCAAAGTGAATGTTGACAACTACCATTTTTATTTCTTTGAACTGTATACTAATTTAAAGTAGAAAAGGGCCTAGGGAATAATAAAGTAAGATTATATGATTTTGCCAAATGTCATTGGCTCACGTTCTTCAGGATATTTTTTGTTCTCTTTCCGATGAACTTCTGCTGCTAAATACCTAAGAAAGAAAGAGAGCTATTAAAATACTAATTGTTTTTGACACCTTACACTGGAGCTTTCAAGCAGAATCAAATGCTACCTGTAGCTGTCAAAAAACACTTAAATATTTTTTTAAGGAGATTTTTCTAGTCCAGGAGTGTAAAACAATTTGGGTGATTTCACATTTTATTCAAATCACAGTCTCTCCTATTTACTATGTAGTCAAGCGAAAGGAAGAATGGACTCAGCAGGGCTCCTGCCTAGGCAAGGATGCCCGGTGGGCAGAAGGGAAAGGCCTTTCTAATTTATAGTCAAGGCAGGGACAACCTTCTGGCTTAGTCATTATCATATACGCTCTTAAGCACGAACAGGTTAAAAAAATCCTCAAGCACTAAGGACTTCAAGTTGTTTCAAAAGGACATTTATGCAAGAAATAGCAAACGCCTTTCATTTAATGAGCATCCACAAACGTGTGCTGAAGGCTGGAACTAAATTGAGTGAAAAGGGATAAAGGACTACTGCATAAGGAAAGTAATGTCCTTGACCTCCCTGAAATAGTTGCTGTGATTAATATGTCTTTTGTTCTGTTTGTGTGCCATAGTGGACTATAATTACATGATATTTCAAGATTTCTGGCCCACTCTAAATTTCTCCCATTCCTCGTAGTACAGGCTTAGAAGGAGTCAGTGGATAGACTTTAGAAGCTCCTTGAACTCTGTCCTTTAGTTTTAGATTTTGTGTTTGGGCCTATTTTCTTTCCTGGCGACAGGATCTCTTGATTTAATCGAATTTCACCCTGCAACCCCCCAGAAAGATTAAAGAAGAATTATTGATCGTGTTGATTACTGGCTTGTGTATTGTTGATTGCTTTTCTCTTTTTCCACGTGTTACATTTTTACATGTACTTAAGGGGAGGCCACTTGTACTGCCACTTTGTCACTTGAGAACTAACGTCGCATTGACATAATCACAAACGTGGAAAACGTGTCAAGCGGTTGGCAGATCTACAGTCATAATGACAAATAAATTGTTTAAGATAAACAGTTACGATTCAATGAAATGGTGCTACTGGGAAGCTTCCCCCAGGGTAAAAGGAGAAGGCATCATTTGTGCCTCGGATCCAGTCATTAGTCTTACTGGGTCTTCTGGGCAGGGTGGTGTGCAGAGCTCATCTGGGCTCTGCAACTTGGAAGGAGCAGGCAAGGGAAAGAGGAGCCTGGGAAAAACCAGTCAGCGAACCATAGGTTTTAGGAAGGCCAGGCAAAACAGGATAGGGGAGCACCCGGACACAAATTGGCCTGAGGACACGAGTGCCGTTATTCACCTCAGGAAGAGCAGTTTCAATGGAATAGTAGAAACTGAAGGCAGAGAGCATTGGTTGGAGGGGTTTAGCCTCCTCTTTCTAAATGCCTTGAATGTGAGAGAAGAAAGAGCGGAGAAATAGCTAGAAATAGCTGCAACTAGAGCAAATCATGGTGTAACAAGTAGGTTGTGTTTCTTTGCCTTTTGTGTGGCATTGGCTTTACTGTCTTTGTATTCTGAAGCCACTGAGAGAAAGGAGCTCCTGGAGGGGAGGGGTGAATAGTGGGGCAGGGGTTAGAGCGAGGTTCTTGGGGGATGGCATCGGGGGAGCACAGGTGTGGGGAACCTGGTCAGTGAAAAGGAAGGATGTGGATACAGGAGAGAAGTGGATACAAATACTGCGTAAGGGGGAATCTGGAGGTCTCACCTGATGACATGTTTTCCTGAGAGCTAAGATAAAAGGTGTCCTCCTGAAAGTCTGTGAGTGGAGAGACAAGCGTGATATGTGCGTGTCCTACCTGAACTGTGAGAGGTAACTGCTCAGGGAGACAAAACCATATTTGCATCAGTGGTCCAGCTGAACAGGGAGACTATGACTTATGTAATGATAGCAGTCTGTAAAGTCTAGGGAGAAGAAAAAGGGCCAGGTTGCTTCCCAGGCCCTGTGACAAAGGGCAGTTAGTTTCCCAATAACCTAAAGGTTCTGAAAGTTCCTCTCCAGATGTCAGCATAGTGCTCAGTGTGGCGGAAGGCAGTCTGAGCATGCTTCGAGCACCAGTCAAGCGGAGTCCTCCCATTTTTTAAGAGGAGAAGATATTTCATACTTCAAAATAGTGTGGTGGTTATTTAGGAAGGTAACGGAAACTCTGTTGGGACATCTTACATGATGTATGTTTCAGCATTGTCGGGGTGCTGTGTTATGTATGAGGCAGGCATTCTAACAGGCGTGGAGAGCGGCGACCCTCACATAGCTGGTCTCCTTCCTGGCGTGTGTCCACTATATTACATGTCTGAGATCCTTGCCTATGAAAACAACCCTTGGTGCTCACCTAGGTATTGCTAAGGTACTATTAGATTTATTTTTATATTTTATTTGTCCTCATCAAAGGTCAGTTTGGAATAGGCAGATACGGAAACCGTTTTTCAAGACAGTTGTATTAAAAATGAATCTTTTTGCAAAGTGCCCGCCAGGCACATAGTAGTTACCTTAAAAAAGAGCAGTAGTTGTTCTTATTCACTGACTATTTGTGAAAGCATAAAACTAGCCAGATTTTTGAATTTTGTTTATAGAAGGCTTAAATGATCTAGCCAAGCAGTCGGACCTTGAAAGACAGTGTGGAGTCAGGCTTGGTATTTAGAGACAGACAGGTGTTGGTTTGACTTCTTGACTTGTTAAAAGGGTGATGATAGCAGGTTATTTAACCTTTGAATGTCCTCTTCCTCAGTTGTAAAATAGAGGAATTACACGTTTCATAAACTATTAGGAAGATTTAGTAAAAATATAGGAAAGTACTCTACTACAGTACCTCAACTGGAATAGGTGTTCAGTAACTTCAATGTCAGTTCCTCCTCATTCCTTCCCCTTCTCCACCTACCTTCTGTGATGCATTTCTCACTAGAAAGTAATTAGAAATTCGTGAGCAAAGTGACAGTAGTGTGCAGAATGGGTGTACTAATTAGAGATTGAAATTAATTTTCTTCCTATGAATAGTTCCTATATTGCACTTAAAGTGCATTAATTGGTATGAACTAGTTTAGAAGGAAAAAAAAAAGGAAAAATTAAAAGACTATAGAGATTTTTAGTTTTAAAATAGGATAGTAAAGATGTTTTAACCCCCCTTTCCCCTTGGGAGTCACCACAGAGCCACTGAGAGAAAGAGTAATAAAAACCAATCTCCAGTCCTCTGAAACCAAGACATCTTTCACCTGGAACAACATACAATGACAAAAGAGAAGAAAATGATGCAGGGAGAGAAAGCTGGAATCCAGGTGTATTCATTTCCAAGGCCACCACGACAAACTACCACGAAAGGGCAGGGGGCGCTTAAAGCAACAGAAAATTACTCTGTCACAAATCTGGAAGCTTGAAATCTGAAGGTGTTGGCAAGGTTGGTTCTTTCTGGAAGCTCTGGGGGAGAATCTGTCCTCTTTCTCCTCCATGCCTCAGGTGGTAGCCAGCAGCCCTTGATGTTCCTTGGCTTGCAGCTGGGTCACTCAAATCTCTGCCTCCGTGTTCACATGGCTTTCTCCCTCTCTGTCTCTGTCTCTTCACATGGCCTTCTTAGAAGGACATTAATCATTTTGTTAGAGCCACACTGATCAAGTTTGAGTTCATCTTAACTTGTTTACATCTGCAAAGATCACATTCACAGATGCCAGGCGTTAGGACTTCAACATAAATTTGGGGTGACACAATTCAACCCCCAACCACAGGGGGCCCCGATGAGAAACAGACTGACCTCCTCCTCACAGCTCCACATGAGGGTTCCGGAACCACAGACAGGGAGGAAGGAGGCACAGAGCTGAAAATGCAAGGATCTTAAGGGAGCAGTTCAGCCTCCAGCTGGGCACGGGGCTCCAAATGCAGGCTTGTAACCACTATGCTGCGCTTACCCCGCCACCCCCCGCCCCAGCCTTGCCTCCACACCTCCAGGAGATGAAAAGCATGCTGTTTGGAAAAACTGTGCTAGAAGCTCTAGAATTAGAATACAAGCCAGAGCTGAGGCACTCCACCGAAAACAGGGATTACATGAACGTAGAGGAGGGTCTTTGGGAGAAAAGAGGAGAAATGATTGGCAAAATCCTCTTCTGATCCCATCTCACCACCTAGTCTTTACTCCATAGGAGCGAAGCTTATATTCTAACTAGATGTCTGAATATTCCTCTATGGATAATGAACAGTCCAGAGAAAAGGCCTTCAGATACTGGCATTTCGGCTCCCTTCCCTCAAAAAACACTAGCTTACTACAAGAACATCCCATGGAAAAACTCACTAGTTAACAAACTATTCACTCATTCAAAGTGTTTGTTCTTAAATATTAATTTGAGCCAAGGATTCATCATCTGACATTTGAGGAAAGCATTCAACTTGAAAAAAGAAGGGGAAAAAAAAAAAAAAGAAACTCTTAGTAGACAGAGAAAATGTAGGTAAAAGCATTATAAGTAATCTATATTAAATCATAATAATGTATATATCATCCTCTTCTTTTGATCATTGAAATATAGAAGATGTATGTATAAAAAAAGATTTAAAAAGAAAAAGATGTTTCAGATATGAAAAATATAGTAGCAGAAAGAAAATAGTACATATTTGGAGAAGCAAAAACTAGGGGAAGATCAGGAGAAAAATATAGAACTTAAGATAATCTGATCTGTTTGGCCATGTGTACAATTGAATTAGTGTATACAATTATAATTGTATAATTGTATATTTGTGTACAATGGTATTATAAAACTTTGGGGACAAGTATGGGAAGAGTGGTAGGTGCTAAGAAAAAAAAAAAAAGAGGCAATTTTAACTCCGGGGGAAAATAGGGATATATAATCATAGTATACTACTTGAATTTGACATAGCCTTGTGTGCAATTTTACAGTCATAATAATATAAACTCTGTCGTAGCCAGACTCCAAGGTGGCCCCAATGATTACTGCCTCCTGGTGTTCGTATCCTTATGTAATCTGTACCACCTCCAGAAACATTTTCCAGAGTTAGTCTGTAACCAGTTGAATACAACAAAACTGATGGTATGTCACATCTGAGATTAGGTTATGAAAGATACTGTGGGGCGCCTGGGTTGCTCAGTTGGTTAAGCGACTGCCTTCGGCTCAGGTCATGATCCTGGAGTCTCTGGATCGAGTCCCGCATCAGGCTCCCTGCGGAGCAGGGAGCCTGCTTCTGCCTCTGACCCTCCCCCCTCTCATGTGCTCTCTCTCTCTCATTCTCTCTGTCTCAAATAAATAAATAAAATCTTTAAAAAAAAAAAAAAAGATACTGTGGCTTCCATCTTGGTTGCTCTGTCTCCCTACCTCTCTCTTGGTTCTAGGAGAAGCCTTGTTGTGAGCAGCCCTTTTGAGACAACCAAGCTGTAAGGAAGTTAAGCTTTGGTCTATCAGACTAGGAAATCAGTAAATAATGTCTAAAACTGATTAATCAGGAGATAGCAAGAGAAACATGAATAAGGCAGAGTCAGAGACAAGGAATTGCTGTTTTATTGGAGGCCTTTTGCATTTCTTTATAAAATAACCATTAACCTTAAAATTAAAATTAGAAATATTAAAGGTCTTAATGGGCAACAGGCAGGCAGTCGAGATAGGAAGACATCTCCAAGAGTAACTTAGTTTGTCCCCATTAAAATACAAGCAGAAGCCAAATCTCTTCTTTCATTCATTAGTTACCTAATATCCTTTTCTCCTAAAAGACGCTGACTGCAACTGTATTTTTCCTTTTTCCTTTTTCTTCTTCCACTACTGTGTATGAACCTAAAGGGAACTTCTGTCTGTCCTAGCTCTCAGCTTTTCATTTTTATGTGATCCAGAATTGAAAGTGCATTCCTAAAGAGTAATAGGGTATGATGAAGAGTCAATAGTCTAGTGCCTCTAGCTCAAGATAATGAATGTGTCTCTCCACATAAAATGGACACTCTCCCCACCTTTGTGTGTTCTGGAGATAACATTGGCCAGCCATTTTGTAGCGCATATCTGAATCTTCTTTCCCTTGTAATTCTTAATGTGAGAGAAAACAGTGATGGAAATGAGTAACATAGAAAATCAAGTACCACTCTAGTTTGTTTCTTAGAACAAAGGTAGCCTTCCAGTGCTGTGTAAGAACCTGAGGGCTAACCTGGACCCAGTGAATCTGTAGAAAGCAAAAGACTGGGATGAGATCAGTATTTCGAAACAGTAGCCTTGA